GCCGCCCAGGATGGCCCCATGATGGCCCAAGAGGCCCCCCACGGGGCCCCAAGGGTGCTCCGAGAGGCCTTCCAAGACGGCCCCAAGAGGCCAACATCAAAGATTTTCACACTGTTTTTTAACATGTTTTTCGTGTTCTCGCGTTTTCGGGCTTCGACGTTCCAAGACGGCCCAAGAAGCCTCGAACATCGCCCCAAGACGGCCCAAGAGGCCCCCAAGACGGCCCAAGAGGGCCCCCAAACGGCCCAAGAGGTGCCCAAGACGGCCCAAGAGGGCCTCAGGACTGCCCAAAGAGGGGCCCGGGAGGGGGAACACGAACTAGCAATTCGAGCCTTCCGCCCCAAGAAGCCCGAGAGGCCCCAAGAGGCCTAAAGAAGGCTCCGAAGAGGTCCAAAGAGGCCCTCAAACGCCCCCTGGAGGCTTCAAAACTGCTCCCAAAGGCCCTCCAGTGGCTTCCGATGGCCTCATACCCGCAACCCAGGCACGGTGGCGGGATGTGCCTAAGGCACAAAGAGGCAAAACATATTGATTTCCCATATGTTTTTTCAGCTGTTACTGTGTTTTCGCTCTTTCGCGATTCCAACTTTCCAATACAGGCCAAGAGTCCCCCCAAACCTTCCAAAAGGTGGACCCCGAACTCGCAGAGCGAGCCCGTCCCCCGAAGACGGCCCCCGAGATTGCTAGCAGCGCCCCAACAGGCTTCCGAGAGTGCTCCAAGAGAGACTCCGAAATGGCCGAGACCACCATTGTTTCATACCGGCCCCGAAATATTTCTGAGACGGCCTGCGTCCGAGAGTCTCCTAACCAGCCCTGCAGACGGATGCAGATGACCAGTCAGAGGCCCCAGGAGGACCCAAGAGCCTCCCCAACAACAGGGCCCAAGAGGCACCCAAGAGGGCTCCAAGAGAGGCTCCCAGGAGGCCGAGACCATCAGCCAGCCCCAAGGAACACCCCCCAACAACCTGGACGCTCCCCATACACCCCCAGAGGCCCTCCATAGAGTTCCAAAGGACCAAGGCGCACCCAAGAGTGCTCCAAGTGAGGAGCATGAGGACGAGGAGAAGGAGGAGGAGGAGGAGGAGGAGGAGGAGGAGGAGGAGGAGGAGGAGGAGGAGGTGAAGAGGAGGAGGAGGAGGAGGTGGTGGAGGAGGGAGGAGGAGGAGGAGGAGGAGGAGGAGGAAGCGGAGGAGGAGGAGGAGGAGAGGAGGAGGAGGAGGAGGAGGGAGGAGGAGGAGGAGGAGGAGGAGGAGGTGGAGCAGGAGGAGGAGGAGGAGGAGGAGGAGGAGGAGGAGGAGGAGGAGGAGGAGGAGGAGGAGTAGGAGGAGGAGGAGGAGGAGGAGGAGGAGGAGGAGGAGGAGGCGCCGCGACGTCTCCCTCGGGGTTCGACCGGCCTGGGCCCCGGGTTTCGTGCGGCTCGGGCCCCTGTCTTCGCTGCTGACGTCTGTCTGCGGCGTGGTGGGACCCCCGCCGCCGCGAGGACGAGGAGGAGGAGGAGGAGGAGGAGGAGGAGGAGGAGGAGGAAGAGGAGGAAGAGGAAGATGAGGGAGAGGATCAGGTTTCCGGAAGCAGGACTCCGAGGATCGATCTTGTAAATTTGATGTTGGTGGTGCTCATTCGTGTGGAGGGGCTTTCAGGAACATCTGGGCGCATCCGGAGGGCCCTGGCTTCCTCCGACCACTCCGTGCTGCAACGCGCCTGGATCTCCTTGTAGGGCCAGCGGAACTTTCAGGGACCCCCCCCGGGTGACAGAACTCACCACGGCCCATTCCCATGTCGGTGCCGATTTAGGGCTCCGCATGTGCGTGGGTCAGCCCGCCACGGCGCCCCCTTGGAGGGGCAGCGGCTTTGAAAATTGTGGGGACGTCCGAGTGGGAGCCGCCCTCCAACCGCCACATGCTGCCTGCTCCCTCTCTCCCCCATCGAAACGTCCCCCTCGGTGCCGCCCGGCCGCAAGCGTGAAGATAACAGGCACCTTGGGGGGGCGCCCCGTTCCGCGAACCCCACTGCAGAGTGGGGATCCCGACCCCCCAATGGGGCTCGCGGAAGGGGGGCGGCGAGAAATGAAGAGGAATTGCCCATGATCAGGGGGGGAGGTGGAGTTGATGTCTTAGCTCTGACCATGCTCCCCCCCTGGAAGCGGGATGGCGGGGAGGGGATGCCCCGTTCCCTCGGAAGGGCACAGCCCCTCCTCGGCCCCACTCCTCCCAATCTCAAATCCTCTTGTAACGAGTCAAGGTAGTGTACGTACACATGTCGACCCTGGGAAACGGATGTGCGTTCTTGGCGGAAGCCAGGGGAGGTTCTACGGAAGTCGGCGGAGGTGTCGTTCGGGCCTGAGGATTCCATGCAACTGCGATTCGTTATTTAAGCGGCTGCGCCGTTCCGCCCCGGGGGGCAACGGCCGTGGCTCCCCTGGGCTTCCGCTCGGGGAAGGCGCGGCCCGGGGGGGCGCCTCGGCGCGAGGGCTCTGTCAGAAGACGTCGCCCCGCTGCGGTTGGCCGCTGTAGCACCACAGTGCTCGCGCGCGCTGCGGCGCCTCGCAGCGGTCCCGCCAGTCAGGAGGAAACGCCCTCCCACGCCCTGGTTTCTGCCCACGGGTCTTCGCGCATGGTTTACCGCCCACGAGTCTCCACCGATATGTCTCCGCCCATGGGTATTCGCCGGAGGTTTCCGCCCATGGGTCCCCGCCAAGAGGTTTCCGCCCATGAGTCTCGGCGTGCAGGGGGGCGCCTCGGTCTGGCGCCGAACCCCTGCAACGCGAGGCGGCAGTAAGGGCCCGTTGGGATGTGCCGAGGGCGCCCACCCCCCAAAACGTCGCGTATCGTGTCGATTGCGTCCGTGCAGCCAAAAGCAAAGCTCGTTCAATCAATATTTGCCTGCGTTGTTGTTTCGCCCAGGTCCGAAGGTGGGGCTGGACAAAGGTCCCCAGAGGCCCCCAAAGCCTTTGGAAACTTAAGCACCAAGAATCTGCGGCCTGCAGGCATACGCTGCCTGGACCATCCCCTCAACAACCGCCTACGCCATTGCAGTAACGCACTTCAGCGTACATCCCACCTCGCTTCAGCCTTCCAGCGCAATCCAGGCACCATGCATCAATCGCTTTGCGTTCGGAGTGGGGGGCACGCGACAACGAACGAGACGGCCGCGCAGGGGTGGGCGCAACTGCCCTTGTGCGCTGGCCCCCCCCGCCTACTTTTCCCCCCGAGATTGAGCGTTTCCCGATTATGCTTTGCTGTTGTGGGTCCAAGAGGCCCAAGAGGCGTTCCAGATTGAAACCGTTCTGTCCCGAGGCGCCCCCCCCCGGCCGCGAGACGCGGTCTATATATATATATATAGATGTATACACACAGTTGTATGCATACACAAATATACACAGCTACCCGTGTATCTATATATTTATAGTTATACAAAGAGAACTATGTAGCTATACATGTGTCGGTCTACATATATGTACACATATATGTATTTCGATGTATGCATATCGAACTATCTTTCACTCTTCACATACGTCTCTCCATATATGTGTGTAGATGTAGATGCATCTACAATCGATCTATATATATATATATATGTATAGCTTTTTATCCATATAGACATATGTTTTTACAGTTATGCCAATCGATGTATCTATCCAATGCCCGCGGCCTGACCCTTCTCGGGTCCAGGGCCTGTGCATTCGCCTTCCTGGCTCGGTCAGGGCAACATGCAGCAGGCACCGCTCTCGTGCCCAGGCACCGGCCGGGCCTGTTCGCGGCGGACGTGTGTCGCCCCACGGGGGCGACCTCTCCCTGGCCTCGCTCGGGCGTGTGCATTTTTTTTCTCGGCGAGAACCATGCAGGACGATCCTGGACCATCGAGCAAACCAAACACGCACGAGACCGACAAAGTGCACGGAAAATGGACGTCCGAGCGAAAGGCGCACCCCTCGAGCGCAGAGTGGCCGCGCGGGCTGCGGGCGCCGGGCGCGCGTGAGCCCTCGTAAAAGGAAAGGGCACGCGCTCTGTCTCGGCACGGGCACCCGCTGCTCGGCCATGGCCGAGGACAGGTGGAGAGGTCCGCCGCCCAGCCTCCTCCTCACTCCGCCCAGCGCTGGCGGTCCGACCTGTGCGTGCTCCCCGCTGCTCCTGGTGTCAGCTCGCCATCGCCTCGCGGCGCGTCCTGGATCCCAGCTATATGGCTGCTCAATTTTTGTTCGATGCGTGGGCCCCAGAGTTCCGGCCCGCTTCCCCAGGGCTAGTTTTCCGTCCCGGGTCCTTGTGGCGCTCCCGAGGCCCGGCGAGGACCCCCAGAGTCCGAAAACGGCCAAGACCGTTTGCTCCAAATTTGGTTGGAGCGTCTCCCTGCCAGATGATTCAACGCCTCCAGTGTGGAGCGTCTTCGTGAGCCCGCGCGTCGGGGCGCCGAGCTCTGACGCGCTTCGCCTCGTGCGGCGGCCTGCGGCTGTGGAGCAGTCCGTTGGCGCTGCCCCCGCACAGAAGTGCGACGGCCAGAGGGGGTGGATGTTGGAGGAGTGAGGGAACGAGAGGGAGGGGTAGGAGGGGAGCAGGAGGAGGAGGAGGAGGAGGAGGAGGAGGAGGAGGAGGAGGAGGAGGAGGAGGAAGGGAGCGAGGAGGAGGAGGAGGCGGAGGAGGAGGCGGAGGAGGAGGAGGAGAAGGAGGAAAGAGGCCCTCGCACAGAAGTGCGATGAAAGAAGTGCGAAGGGCGAGGAAAGAGGCGAGGTGGCGCCCTTTGCGTGGCACGTGCGTCCCCACCGCCAGGTTTCTGGCCGACGACTGGCCGGGAGGGCGGGCCTCCTGCTCGCAAGCCTTTTTCAGCGTGGTCAGTGATACAATCGGTCTCCCGCCCCTTCCCGCACTCCTTCCCTCCTCCCCCCTTGTTCTTCCCTCCCTCCTCCCGTCTCCCTCCTCCCGGACACTTCCACCCTACCCCCCGCCTCCCTTCGTCCTTCCCCCGCCCTCCCTGCCTCGTCCCTCCCTCTTCTTGTGCCAACCCCCCACCAGGCGAGACCGACGGCGTGGAGTACCACTTCGTGAAGCGCGAGGACATGGAGCGGATGATCAAGGATCTGGGGGAAAACGGATTGCATCCCTTGCTACTGGGCCTCCTGGAGAGCACGATTGGGCCGAGGTCCTGGCGGACATCATCCGCGAAGAACAGAGAGCGGCATACACGTAAACTTTTGGGAGGCCCGCGCGGACCTTTTGGATCGGCGCTGGGCCACCCTGGCGGCGCCTGCGCCGCCAGCCCTGGCGCGCTTCGAGCGCCGGGGGATAGATCCCAGCGCCGATCCCATATCCGTGCTGGGGCCCCACTTCAGGAGGGGAAAAAGCACACAGACACAATTAATCGTCCACTCCCAGGAAAATATGGGAAACTATGGGAAGTGGGGGGGAAGACGACAACCCGGAGAATATGGGAATTTCAGGGGATTTTTGTTTCATTGGTGTGCATTTACCTGTGTGTCCCAGGGCCCCTTCACCACTGTCTGGGAAGGCGGGCCCCCCCCCCCGGCAGCGCCCCCCCCTGTCGGGCCAGGGGGCCGTGCACCCACCAGTGGCCCCCGTCCGGGGGAGGGGGCCCGTGGAGGCGTGGCGGCGGTGGGTGGTGGGTGCCCGGATCGCGTCTTCGGAGGAGGGCGCGTCGAGAGTCTATAGCCGGCAGCGCCCCCCCCTGTCGGGCCAGGCGGCCGTGCAGCCACCAGTGGCCCCCGTCCCGGAGGGGGCCCGCGGAGGCGTGGTGGTGGTGGTGGATGCCCAGATCGCGTCTTCGGAGGCAGGGGAACAGACAGTGGCATAAACAGAACAACTCGGAGGTCCGCGCGGATTTCTCGGATCGGCGCTGGGGCCCCCCGGCGGCGCCTCTGGTTCCCATAGGAGGAGGGCGAGTCTAGAGCCTAGACTCGCAAGGTTCGCTTTCCAGTGCTGTGGCCTCCGCTTGGCGTCCCCCAAGCCATCCCCCCCCGGCGTCCCCGCGCCCATCCCCGTCGTCCCCCGCATCATCCCTGCGCCCGTCCCCTCGCCTCGACGGGCATCTCACGATGCACCCCACGATTCACGGACGGTCACAGGGACGCCGATGATGACGGCTGTGAAGAAAATTTAGGGTATCCTTGGATATTGTATTCAATTTGATCTCCGCGTCAGGCGCGGCTTCCGGTCACATTGGTGGCTTTCGCTGGTGCAGTGCCGCACTTTTAAGTTCCCGTGGCATTTCTCTTTTAAGTTTCAGTGGTATTTCTTGCCGTGGTGAATGTATTGTTTGGCCGTCGAGGCCGTTCAGTACGGGTCTGTCGCACAACGCTTTGGCAGACCAGGGGACGATACGCTATAGGGCTACTCCGTATCTTTCGCAATCTTTTTTTTATCATGGGGACGTTTGAGAGCGCCAGAGCAGACCTCTGGACAGCACGGGGCAGCGAACCTCACAAGCCCAGACGCCGGCAGCTCGAGAGCGGCCCCCGGACCCCTCTTGGCCCGAGCGCGCCAGTTTTGTCCGATCTGCGTCCGGCCGCGGCGGCGTGGCCCCCCGCCGTCCCCCCGAAGGCCAACGGGCGTTTTGTCAGCTGGCCCTCCTCCTCCTCCTCCTTCTCCTCCTCCTCCTCCTCCTCCTCCTCCTCCCCCTCCTCCTCCTCCTGCTCCTCCTCCTGCTCCCCCTCCTCCTCCTGCTCCCCCTCCTGCTCCCCCTCCTCCCCCTCCTCCTCCTCCTCCTCCTTCTCCTCCTCCTCCTCCTTCTCCTCCTCCTCCTCTCGTCGTCCTCCTCCTCCTGCTCCTCCTCCTTCTCCTCCCCCTCCTCGCCCTCTTCCTCCTCCTCCTCCTCCTCCTCCTCCTCCTCTTTGGCGTTGCTCGGACTTCATGCTATAGCACGCAGCGTTGAGTTATGACATTGCAGATCTACCGATTTAGCAATGCGGCAAAAGGCACATTAATCTGGCAGGCACAGCGGAAAAAGTAAGGTGGAACGAATTGCGGAGAAGAGCGACTAAGAGTATGCGCCCGCCAGGTGGTATACATGGCCAGCCTGGAGTACCTCAGTTGTAGATACAGGCTTGCGGCAAAAGGTAGCAATTCAATGCAGGTGCAAGCTATGGCAGTTCGTGGGCTACAGCCCAGGACTTTTTCGGTTCATCCCAAACCTGCTTGGTCCCTGGACTTTCGTGCCTTATGAGGATTCTTACCCGGTTAAGCACGAGCCCTGAGTAACACGAGAAGAAGGATTGCCGAGGTAAGGCCCGCCTGGCTGGCTGGTCTGTAACATGGAGACGACCGCGGGGAACGAGTGGGTTAGACCTATAGCAGACTTGCGGCTGGCCCGAAAGGCTGGCCCAGGAGTCGGATGGTAGGCATAAGAGACCGCGCCTGCGGGGCCCTGCCCTGCCCTGACGGTTGGGGGGCCCCGGAAGGCGGGGAGAGAAAGAGCAGGAGGAAAGTTGGCCTAAGTCGGGCCTGTCCCCCTACAGGGGGAATATTCAAAAATAGTCAACAAATAGTCAGGGGACTATTT